ATTTATGTGCATTCATTATTTTTATTTATATATATATATATATATATATAACTCTTTAAAGTCAGATCAAGATGATAAAGTTAGGCACTTGGAAGCTTTCATAAGGAGTAATCCTGGTGTCAACTTAATAGGACCTTCCACTCACATTCTTAAATCAAATGGATCACGAAGTACCTAGAGCTGCACAATTAGTGTTATTTAGTAATTGATTAATCATCAGTCTCATTAATTGATTAGTACCAAACCATGGTACATACAGGCAAAAAATGTTTGCAGCAGGCATTGCTTGCTAGTTGCCTTCCCTCTAGCCAGCAGTTCAAGAAGAAGAAAAATGTAATGAAGACAAACCCCCCAAAAAATGTTGGTGATAAATTCGATGACGAGGAACCCACTTTGAGACTAATAATGGTTGGAGACGGCTTGAATGGGTAATGAAAAAAACTTTAATATAAGTTTAACATAACAGCAAATATACAACGTTTCGACAAGGTTTTGTCATCATCAGGTGATAGCTTGTTGGTGATAGGTGTTGCCAACCAGTTTGTCATCTCTTTATTCATCGGTTCAAAATTTGTGACAGATAGCCTTAATAGCTTTGCCATAAAAGGGCAAGGAAATTCGATGGCAACGGAAATAGAACCCAAGGAATTGGAATAATTGAAAGGAATAAAAAATCAGAAACCTTAATTTTGATTAGTCGGTTCTCTTTTCAGACATTCAGTTGTAATTTTGCTGAAATAATTGAAAACAGTAATAATCTGATACAATAACAGTAATAATCTGATACATTAATCAAATTAATCATAATTTTGATTAATCGACTAATTTATTTGACACTAATCAGTGTAATTGTTGCTTGAATATAATCAGTTATATTGATAAATTGATTAACTTGCCATATTCTAAAAATATCTAAAGTAGTACATAGATATGCTTAATCACAGATTTTGATTTCCTTAGTGAAAGTTGATAGAACTAGTTGTAAAATGTCTTAAAGATTAACTAGATATCTCTTAATTCCATGTTTAGGGAGATTAGTTGAATAGAAAGAAATATCAGATAGGTAAATCAGTATTGGAAATTATTAAAAAATATGTAAAAATATTGGGAATTACATGACAAGTATGGAGAAGTGAGTATATGAAAGTGATGCTATACATGAGGTCATTCAGGACTAGGAAATTGGCAGTAAGTTATCTAAAAAACGTTCAGGTCAACCAAAAACATGATTACGGGATTACAAACATTCTTTTGTTGGGATTGAAAAGTGCCATAATTTATCTTTGTAACAGATTACACTGGCTTTATCATTTCCTTTATGTTAACATGTAAACCGGATGATTCATCTTTGTAACAGATTACAATGGCTTTATCATTTCCTTTATGTTAACATGTAAACAGGATGATTCATCTCTGTAACAGATTACACTGGCTTTATCACTTCCTTTATGTTAACATGTAAACAGGATGATTTATCTTTGTAACAGATTTACACTGGCTTTACCATTTCCTTTATGTTCACATGTAAACCAGATGATTCATCTTTGTAACAGATTTACACTGGCTTTACCATTTCCTTTATGTTCACATGTAAACCAGATGATTCATCTTTATAACAGATTTACACTGGCTTTACCATTTCCTTTATGTTCACATGTAAACAGGATGATTCATCTTTATAACAGATTTACACTGGCTTTATCATTTCCTTTATGTTAACATGTAAACCAGATGATTCATCTTTATAACAGATTTACACTGGCTTTATCATTTCCTTTATGTTAACATGTAAACCAGATGATTCATCTTTATAACAGATTTACACTGGCTTTACCATTTCCTTTATGTTCACATGTAAACAGGATGATTCATCTTTATAACAGATTACACTGGCTTTATCATTTCCTCTGTGTTCACATATAAACAGGATGATTCATCTCTGTGACAGATTTACACTGGCTTTATCATTTCCTTTGTGTTCACATGCAGACAGGTACCCTTTCTGAGATTGTTATTATGTTATTCATGATTGTGGGCACTAGATCAGGTATTGTATGCAAATTGTATATGAACTGCAAGAACATCTGACATCATTATGATTGAAGAAAAGCCCACATCACTGATATCTCGTTGATTGGATATGAACTGTGTGGAGATGAAAGATGGATTATCCAGTTTCAAGGTAACAAATGAATGTGAATCTCAAAGCAGATGGGCTTATAGTTTCATTGTGATTGTTCTGCAAAGTGTTTGTATGCTCATGGTTTAAGAAGATGTTTCAAAAGAACATGTTCAGAGAACTGTGGCAGAGAGTTTTGTATCACAGACCAAAATCTTTTTCATTGATATAATGCTTCTTGCCACAAAACATGTATGTACTCTGTCTGGTTTCAAAGGAATAATATCAGTGCTTTATAGAACTGTAACTGTACAGAACATCATCGAGATCATCTTAAGGAGTTAATTCAAAAAGGTTAAACTACATTCTTCCAGTACCCACCAACTGGTTAAGCTTTTGAAAGAACATTGAAGACAAAATGTCACCAGACACATTTTTACAACTAAGTTGAGAGAATTTTCTGTCTCACAGAATAGAATTAGGTAAATAGTTGTGAGTGATGTTATACCACGTAAGGGTTACGATCACAAATTCTGAACTTCTATGTCTATGTGCCAGGATACATTTTTCAGGGCTGAAAATGTAGTTTGAATTTCTTTTGAGTTCTGATTTTGTACCTGCAAACCTAATATCTTGTGCATTATAAATTTTCCTTGTTAGTTTTTGTATTTCTGTTTAATATGAATTTTCAAGTTATTGTTGTTGTTTTTTTTTATCTAGACTGCTACACTTGATAAATGGCCAAGTTGTGTAAAGAACAATTCTTCAGATTTCATTTCTACTGTGGGATTACGATGTCGATTTGCTGGTGAGGTAAGAACAGTTGAACTGAGTTTAGGTTAACATCTGCATAGTCATTGAATTTTTATCAACTTATCTACTGCCAAAGGAACCTTTCCAGTTGGCCAGATTTATCCTTTTTTTTTTCACAAAAATAGACATCCGTTGGTTAGATTTTGAAAAATTGATATATTTTTTATAGCCAATCACAGTTAGAAATACTTTGAAATGAAAACATCAAGTTAGAAAAATGTTTTGCTTCCTTTCGAGCAGTCTTATGTTTTTGCCTGTTACAATACTCATTGTAAAAAAATAACCAAACATTTGGATGAAATCATTCATTTTCTATATAAAATACCAGTATTAATTAATGAAATTAGTTGCAATATTGAAAGTTTTTTATTTACAGTTTTTGTGTGATTCGTATAGTACTAGGGAACCTGTAACCAACAAAGTCATGGACCTACAAGCAGTTTGGTAGATAAATAGTTTAGAAAAATTTGTTTAAAAAGCAGTATGATTCATATGGACTATCATTAATAATTCTAGGGTTAAGAGAAGGTAAATCTTGTTTGCAAAATTATCTGGAAATGTGAAATAAAACCTCAGACAGTAGAATGTTAGGAGCACTTTTTAAATACCACGTTGTTATTATTTGGTTGGTCAATTGCAAAAGATGTTTTACCTAGAAATAATAATTTGTTTTGATTATCAAGCTTTGTATAATTCCTGTACCACAACAAGTAAATATATCAGTTTTGAATTGGCTAGAATCAGTGCTTGGAAAACAGTGTTGTTAAAATGAATGTTTCATGAATATTTTTTTATAGATTAACGGCCTGCTTCGAAGAGCAAAAGATTCGGATCTGGCAAGAAAAGAGTTGACGAAACAATTGCTAGAAGATTTGAAAACTAGTTGCCAACTGAGAAATATGTCAGGTAGTTTTTCCAGAAATAGATATTAGTGAAATCTTTCAAATCAGTAGTTGGAGAGAAGGTTGACTTGGTTTTTAAGCATGATTTTGTGAATTGGATATTGAGTTAAATTATTTGTAAAGATTGTACATACATTAGGGAAGTTCTAATTACCATAACTAATTATTAGATCTTGATCCGTCCAAGCTATTTCAGTCTCAGATTCTTTGAAATACATAAAATAATCTTATTTATAAGAATGGTTATTAAGTAGTTTTTAATATTATTCAAATAGAGCTGACAAGCAAACCATAACAAAGCTTATCTCAGAAAGTATAAATGTGGACAAAGTTTTATTAAGTTATGAAAATAAGACTCCTTTTTACATCTAATTTAATCTCCTTTTTAAATCTAGTTTACTCCCTTTTACATCTTATTTAAACTAATTCTTACATCTTGTTTAAATTAACTTTTACACCTAGTGTAAATTCTTTTTTACATCTGGTTTACAACTTAACTTTCACTGTAATTTCAAAATAATAATGTTTATGAAATTGACAATTGGTTCTATTAACATAGCAATTCACAGATTAAATGTAAGCATATTTCAAACGTGACACAACACATTTTTCTAAACAGTGTAATAAGATTAATGGAAATACAATTATAGATTGTTTTCTTAAATCCTGAATGTACTGTTAGATTTATGTGTTTACTCAAATATTTTCCCATAATGGGTTTAATAGTGTTATCTTTCTAGTTCATTACTGTTTTGTTTCATAGATAAATGTCTTTACAGTTTGATTTTTTTTGTAATAAATACTTAGCCTTGTTGTTGTTTTTTCACATAGTCTTTATTTTTCATTTCTATGTTCAGATTCAACTGCTTACAAAGAATCAGTTTTCCGTGTCTGTGCTCTTCTCATTGCTACAGATGGTAAGTGTTTTGATTCTGTCTTTGTTAGTAAAGTGTTTTGATTCTGTCTTCACTAGTAAGTGTTTTGATTCTGTCTTTGTTAGTAACTGGAAGTGTTCTGATTCTGTCTTTGTTAATAATTCTAAGTGTTTTGATTCTGTCTTCACTAGTAACTGTAAGTGTTTTGATTCTGTCTTTGTTAGTAACTGTAAATGTTTTGATTCTGTCTTTGTTAGTAACTGTAAGTGTTTTGATTCCATCTTTGTTAGTAATTCTAGTACTCATCTGTGTAAAATAAGAAATATATTTCTATAGATGTTGTGATTATGATATATATCTATTAGTTTTTAGTAGATTTTTTTAAATATTTCAAAAACAAAAATAGTTTTTGAGGTATCGGTAATATATATTTAGTATATACTCCAAATGATAATGAGTATAGTTTTTGTATATTGAAGTATGTGAGAAAGTCCAAGAGTAGTAGAAAGTAAATTCTTTGAATAAAAAAAAAGTCCATACTCATAATGAATCTAAGTTTCAAATGGACAGCAACTGCCTGTTGTAGAAATCTACAGATGTAGAGGACGATGTTTCGAAAGTCTTCTGCCTTTCATCTGCAGGACGTAGATTCATTATGAATACTCTGCCTAAACAACCTATCAATGATTCCATACTCATAATTGTGGATATCAGTTAAGTGTCTGAGACCTCTGTTGTTTAAAATAGAAACTATAAAACATTGCGTAAAAGGTGTTCAGCCCAGAGAACAAAATCTCTAAACTTCAAGCAAGTGCAGTTCTTAAAATACGTCAGAAAAGTCCACTTTATGTACATTAATTTTAAACCATTTGAAATATTCTGTGGAGAATTAAGATATTAACTTTTGAAAACATATAATGTTAGTTAGAAGAATTAACAGTATGTCTTTTAAAGTACTATGAAATTTAACGTTTCCAAAAAGGATCTAGTTTTTGAAAGTGTTAATAATGTACCACAACTTACTTACTTACAGTCTTTTCTATTGTGTGTTTTTTTCTAAACACAACTTACATCTAAACGTTCGAAGAAGTAATAAGTATGTATGTGTGTAATTATGAAGGAATGACTTTTTTTATGGGTAATGTAAAATCAGTTCTTGCAAGGTTAGTATTTAGCACCATTGCTAAGTTTTTTTTATTTTAGTAGATGTTAATTTATATCATTTGAACAATAGTTTGAAAAAACATTTATTTTCCTTTGATTTAGCATAAAAGTTTTACTAAGTATCTTTTAGCTGCTAAATTGTTGTGTGAAAATGGGTGTTGAATTGTCTGTTTATCAGCATATGTTATTTTAAAATACAGTGTACTGGTGTTAATGTTTGTATTTATGAACTATCCCTGTATATACATGTTTTGTCCTGCATTTCATAAAATAAATAAGTTGTACTGGTATATATTCAATCCTCTTATTGGATAGACAGTTGAATAAAAGACTAGTATAATCGTAGTTACGTAATGTTCATAAAATGGCTGACTTTTCATGTGTATTCTGATTTTTTAGATATTTACGACTGATATTTTGGAGGTTATTTAAGTGATGTTGGAATGGCGATATTTGTGTGGTGTGATATTAATTAAGTTAAAACCATTTGATATTTTTGAATAATGATAATTCCATTGTTAAGTTCTATCCATTATGATTTTACAGGAATAAATCGGCACTTGCTTCATGCCTTGTGCTGGTCAATAATAGACATGTTTACAGATGAGGCCATGAGGAGTTTAGTGGCTTGTTGGCAGTGGTTACTTGCTGCCAGGCCAGATATGGAACTTAAGGTATATTTATTTGAAGATTCAGTTCTAGACTTATTTTTGTTCCTCTTTCGTACTTCCTATTTGAATAATTTCCAGACTTACTAACATTAAACATAGTGTACATGTATTACCCTTAAAATGTATTTTTCTTCTATTTAACATCATAATGGTTTGTTCTATACTAAGGACACTTACAGCTTAATTAAGAAAAACCTTGGAAGTTTGTTATCTCTTTTGCTGATCAACTCTGTTTACAGAGTAATTACTTTCATTGCACAAAGTAAGAAGAGCAGCTTTGTAAATAATAATTTCTTTATAAAAGGGTCCCTCCATGGCCTAGTGGTTAGGGTGATCGACTCACGTTCTGTGAGTCACAGGATCAGAACCTGGTGCCATACGTGTCTGTCCTTTTAGCCGTGGAGTGCTATAATGTGTCTGTCAATGCTAATATTTGTTGATAAAGAGTGGCTGAGGCATTGGCTGAGGGTGCTGCTGGACAGTTGCTTTCCCTCTGGTCCATGATTAAAATTAGGGATGGCAGACGATAGTCTTAGTAATTTCTAGTAGTCGAGGCATTGGCTGAGGGTACTGCTGGACAGTTGCTTTCCCTCTGGTCTATGATTAAAATTAGGAATGGCAGACGATAGTCTTAGTAATTTCTAGTAGCCAAGGCATTGGCTGAGGGTACTGCTGGACAGTTGCTTTCCCTCTGGTCCATGATTAAAATTAGGAATGGCAGACGATAGTCTTAGTAATTTCTAGTAGCCAAGGCATTGGCTGAGGGTACTGCTGGACAGTTACTTTCCCTCTGGTCCATGATTAAAATTAGGGATGGCAGCCAATAGTCTTAGTAATTTCTTCACAAAAAAAACAAACTTTATAAAAGTTGTTTCAGTTTTTAACAGAAGTAGTGAATAGAAACAGTATTGTAATATTAGAATATCAAGTTGTATATTTATGACCTTAGAAGAAGGGCCTGTACATAAAGATGTCTTGCATGTTTTTTCTTTGTTTTCTTGCGATAAAAATTTATGTTAATAAAAGCATGTAACAACTTTTTGAATTAAAGTCATTTAATTGGTTATCATTCCTGCCAGTGGTATAGTGGTAAGTCTGCAGACTTATAAAGTTATAAACTGGGTTTTGATACTTGTTGTGGGCACAGCACAGATAACCCATTGTGTAGATAATTTAGTAAGAATTTGTGTAAAACAAAACTTGTTGTTAATTATTTCTGCTTAGCCTTTGTACTCACATTTTATAATACTAAATATTTTGAACATCAGAAACAAAGCTTAGTTAATTAGTTTTAACCTACAGTTCCTAGAAGAAATGGCCTTGGCCTGGCACATGACTATTGACAAGCAGATGGGTCTATTTGCCAATGATCCTTTTCAAGTAGACCCACTTGCAGCTCACGAAGGAAGTATATTGGCACCGAACCCTCCTTACATAGGTCCTCATGCAATCTGGGTGAAGGTAAGTTTGGAATATGATCATAAATGTTTGTATTTACCGTGCATGTCCAGAGGCACCAAGTCTTAATTTTCTTTTCTTTTTAGAAATATAAAATGTCTGGTTAATGGGCTTTCTTTATGGGAAATTACTAATATTAATATATACAAAGTTCAAATATCATTGGTTTATTTTTTTTCCTCATAATCTTTGGCTGTCACATAGTTATTACAGTTAATATTTATACTCTAAATTATTACAGTTGATGTATGAACTCCGAAATGTGCTACATCACAAACAGTTCATGTATTGTGTAGAAATTTTGCTGAAATGGTGCCACTGTGCATGCCCCAAGCATTTCCTTGGAAGTCATGAGTGAACTTTATTTAATCTTGTCAGGACATATTTCAACTTTTGGTTAGCATGATCATTTGTATTTTCGTGTTATGCACAGGGTATGGTAACAAAGCTTTGACTTGTCAACACCAAATTTTAAGTTGTCCAGACTTTTAGTCTCATAGTTTTTGTTGCAGTACTTAAACCTATCGTACAGTAAAGATTTACACAGTCACATTCTGTACTTAATACTGAGTTAGTAAAACAATTTATTTTAAAGGAGAGACTTATTTGTATTTTTTGTGAATAGTTACCTAATTTTGGACTTGAATACTATTTAGTTAGTTGTTTAATGTGGCATTTACATCCTGTATGAGTCATCGCATATTGAATGCTTTGTTTTTGTTTTTATGCAGTTTTTTAATCATTCAAATTGGAAATGAAACTAATTAGTGATTATATATTTTGTTAATATAAACTGTAATTTCTAAATTAATTTCTGAATAGATCTCAAACTTTTTGAGCATCATTCATTTCAGAGAGGTAAAATGCTTTGTCTTCATTTTGTTAGGAATGAAAATAACTTCTTGTTGTCATCATTTTCTCTCTCATAACCTTAAAGTAGATAAATTTGTCATTTTTTTACACATAGACTCAACTACCTTCTTTAACAGAAAAAGAGACTATGCTGTTAACCAATCTCAGTTAATGTAAAGTTTCCAGAATGGATCCATAGAAAAATAGACCCATAGAGGTTCTAGATGTTAACCAATCTCAGTTAATGTAAAGTTTCCAGAATGGATCCATAGAAAAATAGACCCATAGAGGTTCTAGATGTTAACCAATCTCAGTTAATGTAAAGTTTCCAGAATGGATCCATAGAAAAATAGACCCATAGAGGTTCTAGATGTTAACCAGTCCCAGTTAATGGGTTATCTGTTTTATCATCATTTAGAAGAAAGGTTTACCAAGTTTTACATAATTTTAGTTCAAATAAATTTCCAGCTAAAAAAGTTATTAATACTGGATTTTCTGTCTTAAATAATTGAGCTTTGAATGCTAAATGCATACACCAAACTTTGTACTCTACAGATCTTTATTCTACTGACCAGTTGTGGTAAACTTTCCACCAGCTAGGATTGGTTAACATCAAGGGATTCTACATGTCTATCCTCTCTATTGACCCATCTTGGAAAACTTTCCATTAACTGGGATTGGTTAACATCAAGCGATTCTACGTGTCTATCCTCTCTATTGACCCATCTTGTAAACTTTCCATTAACTGGGATTGGTTAACATCAAGGGATTCTACATGTCTATCCTCTCTATTGACCCATCTTGGAAAACTTTCCATTAACTGGGATTGGTTAACATCAAGGGATTCTACGTGTCTATCCTCTCTATTGACCCATCTTGCAAACTTTTGAATATCTGATTTGAAACACGATGGGAACAAGCTTAAAAGTTGTTCTTTTTAGGAATGGAGACATGGAATGGAGTGACATAATGACATGTATTTTACTTCTGAAGAGAAAGACCATCTGGTTTACTGAGAGCTTACATTTTGTAATTTTCTGTTTACTAGTCACCTTTTGTGATGTAATTGTTTCCACTGTTCTTTCTCATAGTGTTACTTTGCTTCACTGTTTTCTTACTGTAACAGTAGAAATGGTAAAAAAGTATGTCAAATTTCAGCTGTAATAAGGGCATAACATAACTAGGTCTTACTGTTATAATTATCAGTGAAATGCAAAAAGGCCTAGTAAATGATACTAAAAAAATTTTAACATTGCACTCTACATTCAGGCTTTTAGATTTTAAGTATGAAACATTTGTCAGATTAGATATATTTTTGTGCGTCAGCAATACGAAGCATATACCTGATTCAATTTTATTACTCATCAGGACCTCTACCAACCTACCCTCGATTTGAAATTCTGTTAGGCAGGATTAGATTAAATTAATCTATGAGACCTTGGGCATGGTCAAATACATCAATCGAAAGGGTTTGACCTTCAGGGTCCAAAACTGTAATTAGATCTCAAATCGGTCAAGAGTTGACAGAGCTATGAGCTGAAAGTATGTACTTGAAAAAAAACTCAAAGCCATTCTATGACCCACTATGCCATGGCTAAAAAAACTGGCTTTAAATAAGATATACTGCAAGAGAATATGACACAATATATCTAGTTTATTTTTTTTACCTTCATTTTGTTGTAATTCAAGTGAGATTTTTATTTTTTTTTGCTTTAAGTTCAAAACACATTTTTTATCTTGAGTATTAGACAATGTCTGATATGGTTAGGTGGTTATGATTGTTTACAGTTGATTAACAGGTGAATTATGAAATTACTGTTTGTCATTTGGTATACTTAAAGTAAGATATGTTTTGGAATACATCATCAAGAATATTACGTGGAGGGCCAATTTCCTGTTCTAAGAAATTACAACAAGCTTTATTTTCTACAGTTCTTAGTTGAAAGAATTGAGATAGCGAGGTATTGTAGCCTGGATCAGGTAGAAATCTTCTCAAGCATACTACATCGATCATTCACTGTCTCTGTGGGTCGAAGTAATCACAGATGTAGACATGCTGCTACCATTGGCACCCGATTTAGGTATGTCTGAAATTTTTTTATGTTTATATTCACAGTATATCCTAGCATACAGAAGTGTTTGGGTTCAATATACATCACCAAAAATTTATACGAGTCCTTTGAGAGGTTGAACTTTAAACTTAAATTGTTGTCATATAGATTAGATTATAACAAATAATTAATATACATACATACATACATACAGGTATGCAAGCTAGCTTTTCACTTTTTCATTTCTCTGTGAATAAGTGAATCTTGAGGTAAATAATCACCTGTAAATGATAGTGGTCGAGTCACTCAGGAAATATTAGCCAGCATAATTAAGTTAGAATACTCTTCTGGGTTTGTAACAGTGAAATATTTTTGAAGTGAAAAAGTAGAAGTAAAATTGAAACAATCTTTAGGCTTATAAACTGAAGTTTGTTTTTAGTAAATTACTTTTGACATTACATTTACTGACTTGTTTTTATAATAATGAAAGTCTTCCGGATATATCCGGAAATCCGGATATTTCTAAAAAACCTGAAAACCTCCGGTTTTCTTCCGGAGAAACACATTTTTTAAAATTATTTATCAGA